CCCACCCAAATTTCACAATGAAAAACCGCCAAACGTCCACTTATATTATATATTAATTTGAAAATATATGGGGTAATTGTATTTTAATTGATAAAAGAATATTAAGAATAATAATGATTACTTTCCACTTTTATACTAGCTAAAAAATAAAATAAAATAAAGTAAAAACAAAAATAAGTTTTTAAGATATTAATATTTTATTGGGAAAATAATGTGTTTAAGAAAAAAAATGTTTATTAAAAAAGAGCATTTTGACCTAAAATCCACAAAATGGGCATTCTTGGATCAAAATATTAACGATGGAAATATTTTTGGACCAAATTATTAACGAATAATATTTTTATTCAATTTTATATAATTTTAGAATATGTGTGACCTTCTTCCATTTAAACTATTTCGGATAGTAGATGAGATGAATATATTTTAATTGATAAAAGAAGATAAAGAAGAAGAAAAAATATTTTCCACTTTTATATTAGCTAAAGGGATTATAAAAGAAAAAAGTTATTTAAAAAAAAATATTTTATTAGGAAAATATTGTGCTTGACAAAATATTTATTAGGAGAAGGGCACTTTGACCCAAAAGTAATAATAAAAGTATTTTTGAACCAAAACAATAATGACAAGAATATATTTAGATTAATTTATTAATAAAAAATATTTGTATTCAATTTTATATAATTTAAAAGTTTTTTTAACTTTTTTCTATTTAAACTATTTCGAATAGTATATAGGAATATATTTGATCATTTTCCTGTTCTTTATATAACTAAATTAGAGTAGAAATATTTTATGTTTAGCCTCTATAAATTGCATGTCTAGTATTCTTCTCTATATAAATAAAAACACCATCTTCAAGCTCTTTTTTATGTTTTCATTAATTTCTCCATAAATAATTAAGAAACGCCACCAATGGCCATTTGGATTTCAAGAACAAGAAGAATCTTTAACCATTTTGTTCAAAGGGCTTGTCCCTTATTTCCTCTTCACCCTAGAGGTTCAAGGCCATTTTCCTATTTTGAGTCCAAGCAACAAGAGCCACAATGCTATCATGAGGATTATGATCATGTTGATATTAAACATGATGAGAACCAAGTAATGTTTTATAACTCTTTATATAAGATATACTATCACTACTATGTGGTGATAATATGAAATTAGCTACGAAATTTGTTAGTAATTCCTAGCTAATTTGTAGCTAAAAGTCTTTTAGCTAGTTATCTTATAACCCCTTTCTAATCTGTAGTGAAATGGGATTAGCATGAAATTTTTGCTATTTATTAACTACACAATTTTGTCAGCTGATTATATCTACATTTTTATTTCATGTTGATTAGTTAATGTTCTTTGATTTTTATTATTACATATTGTTTTCTTTGCTTTGGTTATCATATTATTTGTTGTTGCATGGTGGGAAAAAATAATGTTTTCATGCTGAGTAATTAATAGTAATGTTTTCATACGGAAAATTAGGAAGTTTAATTCTCACTATTTCAGTGAGAATATATTTTTCATCATGGATTTTTCTAGTGAGCTGATTAGGTGGGAAATGAGTGGGAAAATCATGTTCTGTAGCACAAATTTTCTACTGATTCGCGGTGAGAAAAGACTTTGTTTCCATTAATGATCTCAGACCAATCATCCCAACACAATCCATGTTGATTGCATTCCTTATTGACGTTGAGGTGACATGAGCTAGCTTGACCATCTCAAAAGGAGTTCAAGTCGAGCACGACCGTCATTTTTTTCTTTTAATGCTAAGAAGTTGAATAGAGATAATATATAGTTTGATATTGTATTCAAAATATGATAATCTAAGAAGGTTTTATATTTAATATTTAATGATTTTCATCATTTTAATGAAATTTTTAGATAATACTATTTCTTATAAACAGGCCATGGATTTCCCAGGAGGAAAAATCCCATTTGTTTCTCAAATGAAATTCATTTCAGAGTCATCAGAAACAAGGTTAGCTTGTTTTAGAGTTCTTGACAATAATGGCTCTCCAATTCCAGGCAGTGTATTTGAACAGGTAATTAATTCTTGTTTGGTAGAATTTTCAATCTATGTATAACTAATACATAGCAAATCATATTGTATTAATCCTTTAATTTGCATGTTTTACTATATATGTAAGTTTCTGCATTTAGTAAGTAATTATTTAATGGAAAAGACTCAAATATGTCATCGAACTTTGAGAAAAGGCTCATTCATGCCATTATTATTTATTTGTTAACTGAAATGGTGTAGATTAGTCAAACTTTTAATGAAGCACATTTATGAGTCTTTTCTCAAAATTTGATGACATATTTGAGATTTTTTTCCTTTTAAAAAAATAATTTAATAAAAGACATGGCCGAATCATAATTGACCACGTGTAAAAAAATAATTTTGCAAAATTGAAACTATTTTCAAATAAATAATGACATGGATGAACCTTTTTGCAAACGAAAATAACATAAATGAACAAAACTTTTAACCAATGACATTAATGAGTTTTCTCTCAAAGTTCAATGACATATTTGAGGCTATTCCCTTCTTTAATTCCGACCTACTGCATGACATGTTTATGAACACAAGATTCAACCGCGTGACATGTGGTTTGGTGCTTTGTTAGGTGAGGAAAGATTTGGCAGTGAAGATGTATAGTACAATGGTGACCCTTCAAATAATGGACAACATTTTTGATGAAGCAAAAAAACAAGGGAGGTTATCCTTTTATATGACCAGTGTTGGAGAAGAAGCCATTAACATAGCCTCTGCTGCTGCCCTCACCCCAGATGACATTGTCTTGCCTCAGGCAATTTTTTGGCCGTCTTATTTCTCAGACAGTCGCTCAACTAATAGTTATTATCTCAAAAAATCACCTTTCTTTATTGAAGAAAGCTAAAATCAAGAAGAAAAGTGACTTTCTGAAATAATAATTGCTTAGTTGAGTGACCATCATCTAACATATCAACTCATAAAATGCACACAAGTAATAAATAGAAGAAAAATGAACATTAGATTTATGAGGTTTGACTAAAATGTGCTCATATTCTCAAGTAAAATAGGGAAAATAAGTTTGATGTATTTTTTCTAAAAAGTAATTAAAAAAATCGCGTGTTTAGCTCATAAAAAAGAATCAAGCCCAAAGTTGCAGAGCGTGTTGAAGATATAAATTAAGTAAAACTAAAGTACCTGACTACCCACATGAACTTGACACTATGTTTGTCCTAATTACTCTTCAATTCGACTTCCCTGTTACGTGTTAGGTAAAATGCTCTGCCTTGCTCGTACCTTTTAAAACGGTAGATGAAAATGTAAACACACATTTTTATTATGATTGCAGTACAGGGAGACCGGTGTTTTGTTATGGCGTGGCTTCACCCTGCAAGAATTTACCAGTCAATTGCTTGGAAATAAGGGTGACAATGGAAAAGGCAGGCAAATGCCAATACATTATGGTTCTAACAAGCTCAATTATTTCACTGTCTCTTCAACTATCGCGTAAGAATCTTTTATCATTATGATTCAAATTATATTTATGCTTCACTTGAGTCGAGGGGTAAGACTGCATACACACCATCCTCTCCAGATTCACTTATAGGATTACACTGAGTATGTTGTTGTTGTTGCTGTTGTTGTTGTTGTTGTATCGTTTAATTAAACTACTTATATTGTTCATTTCACCAGCACACAGCTTCCACAGGCTGTAGGTGTGGCTTACGCGCTGAAAATGGATAAAAAGGAGGCTTGTGTTGTCACTTATTTTGGAGATGGTACCACTAGTGAGGTGATTTTTAATAAATACTACTCCCTTCGCGCTATCCCTTAAGAAACTACTTATTCCTATAAATTAATATGGACCGGAGGGAGTATAATTTATGGCATTTTCGCTTAGAAGATAAGGTAGTTTTATTCAATGAGTTTTTGTGTTGAATTATTTTCAGGGAGATTTCCATGCTGCTTTGAATTTTGCAGCAGTTCTTGAAGCTCCTGTTATATTTCTATGCCGCAACAATGGATGGGCCATTAGCACCCCTGTCGCTGAGCAATTCCGAAGTATTCCCCTTAGCTCAATTCAATCTGTTTTAAGGGTGAAAGATGTTCAACGAAAAATGTTTTCTGTAATAAGTTATTTTCTAGTGTTTGGTTAGTCAAGAGTCATTTTCGAGAAATATTTTCTGAAAATGACTTACATCATATCAAACACGGTTCCTAGCTATCTCAGATAACTTAAGCTACATTTCTCCTAAATATTTTCCAATGGTAGGTGATGGAGTCGCGATAAAAGGGAAAGCTTATGGAGTTCGAAGTATTCGTGTGGATGGCAATGATGTTCTTGCAGTTTATAGTGTTATTCGTGCAGCTCGCGAAATGGCAATAAAAGAACAAAGGCCAATAGTAGTAGAGGTGTGAAATTCAGCTATTCGTATTAGGGAAACAAGCCTGATATACCCCTCGCTACAAAAGTGGCTCAGATATACCCCTACCATTACAAAAGTGGCTTTGAGCCATTTCTATAACAGTAGGGGTACGTGTACCACTTTTTTAACAAGGGGTATATCAGCTCTACATCGCAAAGTTGAGAAATATATTAGGCCCTATTCCCTTCATATTATTTCTGTATAAGGTTTTATGCTTATAAAACTTGCATTTTGTAACACTTATTAGGCCATGGCTTATCGAGTAGGCGACCATGCATCGTCTGACGATTCAACCAAGTACCGATCCAGGGAAGAAATCGAGTACTGGAGAAGACGATGCTCAGTAGCCAGATTCAGAAAATGGATACAGAAAAATGGTTGGTGGAGTGATGAAGAGGAACTAGAATTCCGGGGAAATACCAAAGAGCAGGTTCAAGATTCAAAATCTTAAAATCTATTTGATTTGAATTTTGTTCTATTTTATTATTTGTTGATTTTTAAAAAATTTATGTAGGTGTTGCAAGCACTTGAAAGAGCAGAGGAAACAGAGAAACCTCCCTTGGCAGATTTGTTTACTGATGTTTATGATCAAATCCCATCAAATCTTCAAGAACAAGAGAGGTATATTAGAGACGCGATAAAGAGACGACCAAATGAGTATCCTTCTAATAAACCTCTATAGGCTATATATGAAAATGGTAATAGATAAGTGCAGGAGCTTGCTACATTTTCAATTTGAAAATGGTTCCTTTGAATTCCAGTAATATCCTCTATGTAATATGAATATACAATGCAGTTGTGGGCGTGTTCGTTACTATCTTTTGCAGAAAATAACAACTCTGAAATTAAGTTGTTGCCGTTAAAGATCATTTTTGGTATAGTGAACTAATCAAACTAACTCATGTGCCTAGTATTTTCTTTTCCTTATCTTAAAAGTTTCCACTTTTCTCTCTTGGTATATCATGGATTCACCAACTGCAGAACAGAACAAACTAAGGCTACTCTAAAGAATCATATATACCTACTAGCTAGAAAACATAGAAGAAGAAAATTTAGATTTTGAAGGTAAAGAATCATCAATCAACAATGTGTAGGGATAGAGGATTCAAAAACCTTTCCCTAACCATGGTGCATGGGCTTTCCAAAGACCACATTTGGTTAACAATTAGTTCAATGAAACCATAGTACATAAAATCCCATTACTAGTAGTCGTAGAACTACTCTTGTAGTTTCTTATCCTTTAATTTTTGTCACTATCTATTATTTCATGTAGTTTGTTTGTAATATTATTTTTGTTGTAGTTAGTACTATTCTATTATACTTTCATTATGTCTTTTCTAGACTGTTTTTCCCTTGAGTCGGCCCAAGTTGAAGTCAAACGGGAGGAATATTGGGGTCCAAAGTTCAGCCTTGAATAAGTCCAAAGTGGTGCAAAAAAGGCTCAAAAGGAGGCTAATTTTAGCCCTTGCGGAGCTGAAATCCACAGCGCCCAATGGGGCTCAAAAGCCACTACCAAGAGAGCCCACAAAGTCCTTAATCCGACCACAATTTTTAGGGTTTTAGTTTTACCCTAGCCACCAAGCTAGAGTTTTATTTTATTAAGTTCTAGATTATTCTTTTAGGGTTTTATTAGGGCTAGCAGCCACCTGATTTATTCTATAAATAGGAGTGTTTTCCATTCATTAAAAAGACATTACATTGATATTAATAATATTTGAGAGAGTTCTTTTGAACCTTTGTAGTTTGTAACTTGTTTTTGAGAATTTATCTTTAAATCTTTACTAGTTTTAAAGTTTAAGGTATAAAGTAATTTCTTCTTGTGATATCTTGAAGTACAGAAACCCTATCAGTTTGGGCGCTAATTACATCATATCCTAAAAGTTTCTCAAATTAAAATAATTTCAATTTTTTTTGAAAACTTGTAGATACATTGCTTCTTCGTCCGATACATAGCAAACGATATACATAACTATAAACCAGATTGATATTGATTTAGGCTTGGATGATTTGTGTTATGCATCAACAATAACATTAGTATCAGATACATTGTAAACAAATTTGAAATATATATGTGATAGAGATGGAGTGATGTATCCGTATGTTAAGAGAGAAGGAAAAGGAATTTTTTTGTAGTTACTTCAAATGGTAGAGATTTTTTGAGATTATGTTATCTTAAGTTGTGTAATTGCATAATTTTCTCTTTTATTTATATCTTATCTCTGTACAAAATGGGCCAAGTGAACCCAAAAGGAAAAGAAAATAACAAAAATAGAAAACAAAAAAAGGCCCAGTCCAAAGGATCCGCCTCCTTTTATATATCAGCCCTAAGAAGTAGGGTTTTCCATTTTGAGCTCGTGATCATCTCCTGAAAGAATAAATGAAGAACAGTATAGAAAATTTTCTTCTTGTATATCTCAATGAAAACTATACAATTAGGTTGTATTTATACAAGTAAGATGACATCTAATGGTAAACCTTAAAGAATAAAATATTCTCAAGATCAAATGGAAAAGGAAAAAATATCAAAAGAATATTTACGTGACAAAATTAGAAAAGGAAAAGGAATATCTATATATCTCCTATGTATGTGCAGAATATATGAAAATAAATCCAACAGCCTCCCTCAAGTTGGAGGGGAGGAAGAAACCCCAAACTTGCCTAAAAGCTAATGATGCACAGGTCCGGTCAAGGACTTGGTAAAGATGTCAGCCAACTGTGAAGAAGATCTGACATAAGATAAAGAAATTAAGCCGACGAGATACTGTTGACGGACGAAGTGATAGTCAATCTCGACATGCTTTGTCCGTTCATGGAAGACTGGATTTTTTACGATGTGAATCGCAACAAGACTGTTAGAGTGAAAAGGTACTGGCAAGGAGATCGAAACTGAGAGATCATCAAATAGGCGAACCAACCAATCAAGCTCGGCTACAACCCTCCTCATAGATCTATACTCAGCTTCAGCAGAACTGAGAGAAATTGATGTTTGTTTCTTAGATTAAGAGAAGACCCGAGAGAAATATAAAATCCACTCACTGATCTTCGTGAATCTGGACAGGTACCCCAGTCAGAGTCACAAAAGGCCATCAATTTGAAAGAAGCAGATATAGACATAAATAGACCAAGACTAGGATCTTTGAGCAAATAATGAAGAACCCGTAAAGCAGCTTCAAGATGAGGTTCACGAGGATCTTGCATATATTGACTCAAATGTTGCACTGTAAAGGATAAATCAAGCCTTGTATGTGTGAGATAATTGAGCTTACCTAATAAACGCCTCTATAAAGTAGGATCTTTTATGGGAATCCCTTTATTTGCTAGTAACTTGATAATAAGATCCAAAGGTGAAGAAACAAGAGATAAATGTAGAGAATCAAACTCCTGTAGTAAGTCCAATGTGAATTTCCTTTGGGAAATAATCATACCAGTAGGTTCTCTCACAACCTCCATCCCAAGAAAATAATGCAACTGACCAAGATCTTTAATTTTAAATTCTTTGTCCAGAAAAAGTTTTAAAGCTTGCAATTCAGCTTCATTGTTTCATGTCAACAATATGTCATCCACATATACTGCCACAATAGAAATAGAATCAACATATTTCTTAAAAAAAAAGAATAATCATTCATAGAATGACTGAAACCTTTAAAATTGAGAGCAGAAGTGAGTTTAGAATACCATTGTCTGGATGTTTGCTTAAGTTCATAAATGGATTTTTTAAGCAAACAAACATGGTTAGGAGAAGGAGGTGCAAGACCAAGAGGAAATTTCATGTAAACCTCTTCATTTAAATCACCATGTAGAAAAACATTATTCACATCTAATTGAAACACACCCCATCCATTCTTCAGTGCAATAGCTAAAATACACCTGATGGTGGTCATCTTGACTACTGGAGAAAAAGTTTCATTATAATCAATAAATTCTCTCTGCACATCACCTCTAATGACTAATCTAGCTTTTAGTCTTTCAATACTTTCATCACAGTGTTTATTTACCTTATAAACCCATTTAGAAGGCAGAGCCTTCTTACGTGTAGGCAACACAACAACATTCCATGTGTTGTTAAGGTTTAAAGTTGTAAGTTCTTTATCCATGGCTTCCTGCCAACCCGGATGGTGAGCTGCCTAAATATAGCTAACATGTTCATGTATACTAGTAATGGAATTGAGCATGACTTGATTGTTAGAAGATAAATCACTAAAAGATAAAGACTCAGGAGTAACAGGACTTAGGAAACAAGAAAAAGTCACATCAGTACGATGGAGAGCATTGCAAATATAGTCTTCTAAGTAATCAGGTTTCTTGTGATTTCTGGAAGATTTTCTGAGTATAATTTGAACAACAGGTAATGGAGAAGAAGGTATAGGGGATATATCAGGAGAGGAATTGATATGTGAAGTAACATTGGAAGGAGACGGAGATTTAGAAGGACTAGTAGATATGGGGACATTATCAAAATCAGAAGAACAATCAGAATTTGATGTGGAAAAATGAGGTTCTAAGGGATAATTAGAAGAGATGGAAGTAATAGAAGGAAATAAAGTAGAACGTAAATTAGATTGTGAAGAGAAAGGAAAATACTCTTCATGGAAAATAACATTCCTAGAGACTGAAATTTTCTTGCTTTGTAGATCCAACACTTTGTAGCCCTTTTTTCCATATGGATATCCTATAAACACACAAGGTGAAGTTGTAGGATCAAATTTAGTTCTATGTAAAGGAAGAGTAGAGACAAAACACAAGCAACCAAAACACTTAAGATGAGAATAAGATGGTTTAACTTTGAACAGAACCTCAAAAAGGGTTCTTGAATTCAAAACACTGGAAGGAAATCTATTTATAAGATAAGTAGCAGCTAATAAACATTCCCCCCAATAACCAATATGAAAGTGAGATTGATATAAAAGAGCTCTTGATGTTTCCAATAAATGCTTGTGTTTTCTCTCCACTACTCCATTTTGTTGTGGAGTGTGGACACAAGTAGTTTGATGAATAATTCCCTTGGAAAGAAAAAAATTAGATTGAATTTTTCCACAACCTAATTCAAAAGCATTGTCAGCTCTGATAATTTTAACTTGGGAATTGAATTGTCTTTCTACCATAGAAATAAAAGAATGAAGGACAGAGAAGGCATTTGATTTAGTCCCAAGTGGATGAGTCCAAGTAGCTCTACTAAAATCATCAACAATTGTAAGAAAATACCTATACCCATCATGTGTAATGGATTTATAAGGACCCTAAGTATCCACATGAATTAAGTTAAAAGCAGCATTGGTACAAATAGCACTAGAAGGAAAAGATAATTTTGATTGCCTTGCCATAGGACAAATAACACAAGGAGAAGAAAACTTTAAACAAGATTTAGAAAATTGAAAAACTTTCTTCATATTACTCATTGGAATATGGCCTAATCTATAGTGCCATAGCTTCTCTTTTACATTGGAATCAAAGAAACTAGAACAAGAAGTAAATGCATTTATTAAAGAACTTGAAAACGATAGACTATGAAGACTGGAACTAGGTAGGCTCTTTGTAGAAACTGTTGGCTGACTTGACTTGAAGATATATAGACCTCCTTGTTCTTTACCAAGCACCAGAGGCCTCTTCAGTGAAGGGACCTGTAACATGAAACAAGCGTTAGGGGTAAAAAACACACATTTTTGAAGTTGTTTACATAATTTGTGAATCGAGATAAGATTGAA